TTTGAAGCTGCATGCTAGAGTTAAATGTTTAGATATCATGTGGCTCCGTAACAGCACAATTTGTTCTGTGTGGATCTGTTGCAACTGATATTATGCTAGTGGCTCCATAATACTGCTGAGGTCAACTTATGCGCTATACGATCATTGAGTGGAGCTTTCGACTTTTTCAAATGCTGCTGAAAAGCGAAATTTCGCTCGAACTCAATCTAAACTCTTGAAGAAACCAAAAAATAAAGAGCATTCGAAGAGCATTCACCACAGGGAAGTTCATTCACCGGAACTCATAGACAAACAGTAACTTCACCCTATAGAAAAAAAAACCAAAGAAGCCTAGGTTTTCAAGGAAAAAAAGCAAGACGAATGAAAACTCACTGGTGCTGGAGTCATTGCTTGGGCAAGATTCCGTGCAATCCCACGCGATCGCGACGATACGGATGAAGCTGATCCAGGCGTCGACAGTGGTTTGATCGGAGTGGTTGGCGATGAAAAACGGGGAGACACCGTCGAAAACCCAGCCAGCGCAGACGGTCGTTGAACAGCAGGGAACGGTGACGAAACATTCTTTAATAACACTGCATTACCCACAACTACTACTGCAAGAGTGGCAACTCCTAGAGGAAAAGACAAGAACTCTTTCAGAGTTTCCCAAAAGCTCACGACAATCTATTCAATCTCTGCCAGATCTTTTGCACGCGATTTCGAAAAAAAAAGCTGTGAGATAGAGAGCCTCACTCACAAATGCTTCCTCCTAAGCCAAAATTACTAATGAGTTCTAGTATAACGAAATGTAGCGCCTCGGGCACTTCTCAACTGCGAAGCCTCTCTTCTCCTTCCTTTTTTCTTCCTCCCTCCTTCTTTTCCTTCTTCCTTCTCTGTTCCCTCTCCTTTACCTTCTCCCTTCAGCTACTGGGCTAGTAGATGCCGTAGATGCCACGAGAATACCCCTGGACCCTCACAACGAGAGCACATCTGGTGGCAAGTGCCCTGTAACCATAAATGGAGGTAGAAAACTCTATTCGCCCCTACTCAGCAAAGATTGTTATAAAATAAATGGAGGGAGAAAACTCTACCGCTCGCCCCTACTCAGCAAAGATTGTTATAAATGGAGGTAGAAAACTCTAGCGTTTGTCCTAACTCAGCAAAGACCCCTCAGTCCACGACAACTCAGGACCAGCCGTTTCAAAAAGAAGCGCCACTCAACATTATGGCTTGTCTGAGGAAATTTTTGCGCCTTTGAAAATGT